ATGACCTCTAGTACTTAATCCCATCTGACTAAGGTATCGCAACGTACTTATTATTGTTAATAAAGCTGTAGATGCATTTTTTTGTTCTTTAATTTTTTGTTTAGACAATAAAGAAATGACTGGTAAACTAGTATTAATACTTATAAGAAAATGTATAGAGTTAACGTGCATTTTACTGTTTTCATGAGAACGCAATTTTTCACATGCTTTTTTCCAGTTATTAAAACCATCTACTATAAAAGATAACTCGGTGTGTTTATTAAATTTATTATTTGCCTTATGATAGAATGAAATACAATCAAAACTAAATGCACGATCTTTAGATTCATCATAATGAAGCCAGGTAAATGTTTCAAACCATTTTGCACAAAATGATCTTTTTTTTGTGTTTTGGAAAAATAAAATTATTAGATGGTTGATTTTTGTTTCAATTAAAGGAAGAATGGGTTGATTATTTTTTGTTGAAAATGAAGATATTGACAAAACATTACTGATATTATTTTGTGAATTCTGTTGTAACTCTTGACTCCTAAAAAAATTTCAATATAGGTACTATACATTTTCTGAATCTAGGAAAAAGTTCCATACCAACTAAATACATAATACTATTTTTATTTTAATGTACATTTATATACTTTTATATAACAAATCTATTTGAAAATATGTCTTTAAACTTACCTCGTTAGGTATAATTTTCTGTACTTTCGGTTTGAAAAAATCAGTGATATTTTTTTTTGGGAGTAGAAACAGCCATTGCAAGTAGGTGTAACAAGTTTAGAAAATTCAACTTGTTAAATATTACAATATCGAATAATTTGAATTTATTAAATAATATAAATATTAGTATGTTGCAAATTATAAATTTATATTGTAGCTACAAGCGACACTCGTGACAACGTAGTACGTACTAGTTTAATAGTCAATAGTCAATACTCAATAATCATTAGTCGTAACCAGTCGGTACCTAACGTAGACGACATAAACTGTAAAATCTGTATAACTCATGAATAGTTCTAATAATATTACAATAATAAACAACATTGTTCGTTGCAAGAACACCGTAATTGATGGATTTCCCAATAATCTGATAAAGCACTCCGAATAGAAAATATCTATTTTTATTTTTATTTAATATGTATTATGTATTTATGTCATAATAATTAATAATAAATCAAAAATAATAATACTATTGCGCACATACATGAAAATAAGTTTAATTTTGATTACTTAAACGTTTAAATTAAATGTAATTTACTATGATATAAATTTTAACTTGAATATGGTTGGAGGGGGCAAAATGATACTTTTGCCCCCTTGGATTTAATCTGAGGGGTCAGTTGCCCCCTCTGCCACACCTTCACCGGCGCCACTGCCTATTTTAATATTCAATTGTATAACTAGTAAGTAATAATATAATGAAGTAATTTAAACCAAACTTAAAAGTTAGAACTTACAATCAAAATGTATCATAAGTTAGCCTCTTTTAAAAACTGTAAAAACACATGGATAAAAGGTAATGTAGGTATTAATATATTATTATATAATCATAAAATAAAAATGTCCGAATAAATATTATAAAGATATTAGCCTACAATGAGTAGGTACAATGAATGCCTAATAATTAAAAATTCTTAAATAGTTCTTAAGGTAAGTATGGAGAGTTTTTTGTTAGGTGAGTTTAAAAGAACATTCAAATGACTCCGTATTAACAACATTATGTGGCTAGAATCTTAAATTAATTCAGGTACCTATTCGTTATTAAGTGAAAATCCATGTGCAACATACTAAATTAAATGATCTCAACACTACGCACCTTAAAGTAAATTTACAACTTATACTCACTTTATGTTAGTTGAAAAGTTAGTCGTCATGTAAATATGTACTCAGTAATAATCACGAACAGTGCCGGCTCAAGGATTTGCGGGGCCTGGTGCGAAATAATTTTTTTATATGAAAGCAGGGGCGTGTTCACGGAGGGATGAGGGTATCATATCCCCCCCCATGGGTCTATGGATTTAATAAAAAATCTTTTTTTTAGAAACGACCTTTGTTTTTATGATAGTAAATTTTCAATTTTTTGGAAAATATCCCCCCCCCCCCCCACATTAGAAAAAGCTGTGCACGCCACTGTATGAAAGTGTTATTTTCATATATGAATATATATTATGTATATTATATATATATACATATATATAATGTACAAAATATATAAAATGATTTAAATAAAATGTTTAAATAAAATAAATCTCCTTAATTTCATAAATTTGTTACACTTACTGGATTACCTATTAGCATTATTACTTAGAAGTTTTAGTTTTCAAATCAAACGTACTTTGATGTTTATTAGTATACCCTTTTTCACGAGAGAACGGGACCGTCTTCCGACCGAAACTGGTCGCCGCCGCGCATCCCCCACCCAAAAACACAAAATTGGTTCGTCGTTCTGGTGGCAGAGGTCGCTCGCCGGTAACTGTCGGCAACGTGCTGTTGCTTATACGTAGCGACGACTGAAGTGTCTTTGATTTTAACGTGTTCCGCTCCACTGTATTTTGCATTAAATCAATTTAAAACTTGTTGTTTTTTTTTTTTTACCATTTCGTTCTATATTTAATTACAATGAGTGATTAACCGTCTGGATCTGGATTGATTACAAACGAATCGCCGGTTAGAAAAAATCCGAGAGGAAAGGTAAGAGATTCACTCAAATTATGTATTATATTTACATTTATATTGGTGGTTGCTACATAAAAAAAAAAAATTAATTATTTTAGATTCTGAGCGGAGCGATAAATGTATTGATTTTACAATGATGTGTGTTTTTTCTATTAATATCTAATATTTAAAAATTTAATACAAGATTCCTTACAAGTTTGTCTACTTTTATCAAAAAAAAATTTCTACCGAAAACTCAAATTAAATTTTTATGAGCGTTTGAAATTGAAATTTTTATAAAACTGGATATTCACTTACCCGCTTTTTTTTTTTTTAGTTTGTTTCTTCCGGTAAGAAGAAAATTATTATAAACATTTATAAAACCAAGTAAAATGAGTTTCCAGATATGAAATACAAAGACCTCATTAAAATAGTTTCTGAAACATCAGGCGTAGGGAAAAATACTGTTGGATCAACAATTTCTGAGTATAAAAACACTGGATTACTCAAATCGCCTAATAAAAAGAAAAACAGGCCTTCAATAATTCAAAAAATTGATGACTTTGAAAAAAATGCAATTCGTCGTAAAATTCATGATTTCTGGTTGAAACGTGAAATACCGACACTTCACAAAATTTTGATTGCTGTTAATACAGACCAAGACTTGCCTGATTTGTCATTAACATCTTTATACCGCCTTATGAAGGAAATGCATTTCGTATACAAAAAAAGGCAACGAAATAGTGCGTTACTTGAAAGCGATCATATTGTCAGTTGGAGAAACCAATACATAGAAAAAATTCGTAAATTCAGAGAAGACGGGCGTCCATTTTACTACCTGGACGAAACATGGGTTAATGCCGGTGAATGTTCGAATAAAACGTGGGTTGACAACACGGTAACATCATGTAGGGATGCATTCCTTAAAGGTCTCTCTATTGGTGCTGCCAACCCAAGTGGTAAAGGCAAACGACTTATTGTCGTTCATATAGGATCGGACGAAGGATTTGTACCAGGTGGTCTCTTATTGTTCAAGTCGAAAAAAAAACACCTCAGACTACCATGACGAGATGAATGGCGTCACATTTTTCAACTGGATGAAAGGCGTCATTCCCTTACTGAAGCCAAATAGTGTGATTGTTATGGACAATGCTTCATATCATTCGGTCAAAATTGAAATTTGTCCAACAACACCCTGAAAAAAGAGGACATTAAAAAGTGGTTGGATGGAAAAGATGTTGTCTATAACAAACCAATGTTAAAAATTAGACTTTTGGAACTTGTAAAAAAAAATGGAGATTTTGCGTTTACCACCCTATCACTGTGAGCTGAACCCGATAGAACTGGCATGGTCATCTATCAAGAATTTTGTAAAAATGAACAACACCACGTTCAAACTTCACGATGTGCAACAACTTTTTCGCGACGGAGTTGATCAAGTTACTCCAGAAATGTGGAAAAACTTTGTCGAACATACCAAAAAGAAGAAGACAAGTTCTGGACCATTGACTTCCATGTCGAAAGCGTTTTGGATAACATGGATTCTACCATAATGACAATAACTGGCGACACTACTTCAGGATCAGATGATAGTGACTTTTAAATTATAATCAATTATGTTTTTTTTTTTTTTTATTATTTTTTTTTATTTCTGTAGTTATTATAATTATGAAAATTCCTAGTAAAAAATTAATAATTTAAGGGTTGGCGGAAATAATATGCTATGTAGAAATTCGTAAATTTCAAACTAACAAATAAAAATAATAAATGTACTATTATTTCATTTAAATATTAATTGAAATTCACTTTGCACATTTTTAACAGATTCAACGTTTAAATGTTAATAGAAAATATTCGTTTCTATATTCTTTAACTCTACGATTATTTTTGTGAAAAAAAATGAATTACGAACAAATTTACGTAGCTCATTATTCTCGCATAGGTTAAATCGTGCACGACGTATGCCGGGCCCGACAAACCGGTCGTTAACTGTCGATAATTAGCGACTGTGTGGAGGGGGATATCACCGGCGGACGAGCCGGTTGGAGCTCATTCTACATGCACAAAACGGTCCCGTTCTCTCGTGAAAAAGAGTATAGTGCGTTACACCTAATACGTCTAGATTATACAAGTTGAAATTTACGTAGGTACCATCCATTAAATGTTTTTCCCAAATATTTTAATTGCTCTAATAAATTCAATTATATGTTAAATAAATATTAATAAAATCCTCTTTTAATAAATACAAAAATTATTAAACAATGTAAGAATATGAATTAAATACAGTAATTATTTTTAACAATATTCCTGGTTTATTTTAAAACAAATATAATGTAACAATACAATAACTAAATGAATTGTTTTTTTCTAGCTTTTTGAAGTGCAAACTGGTCAATAAGTTGGTTGTAATCTAATGTTTCTGCTAATTCATTTTCGATTGAGAGTATCGCTAACCCAGAAAGTCTGTCTTGAGAAATGGTACTACGAAGATAGTTTTTAATAATTTTCAATTTTGAAAACGCCCTTTCTGCACCTGCAGAGGCCACAGGGATAGTTAACAAGATTCTAAGTGCAATGTTTATATTAGGAAATGAACCACAAGATGTTTTAAGAATTCTTAGAGCTTGAATGGCAGTAGTATTTTCATTGACCATAGTACGAAAAATTATCAGCTCACTACATAAATCAGTCGCATCAATATCTGCGGATTCGCCATCCGTGAGTGTTATTTGTAAATCTTGACAATGTTTAAATAATTCTTCTTCTCTCATATTTTTCAAATGGCCAATTCTGTACAAAAATCCAAATTGTTTATTGTATTGAGTTATTTGTTCAAATCTTTTTTTCACTGATGCCAAAGTTTGGTCAACTAATACTAAAAAGTATTTCACTCTAAAATTTTCTTCCTCATTGTTCAAAGAATCATCTATACTTTCATAATGAAACAATTTCTAATTCTATTTTTTTTTAAACTTTATTTTAATTCCCATTGGTGATATAATTTCTTCTGCTTTAACTTTAGCTAATGCATATCCATTTTCCCTATAGTTTTCCAAAAAAATAATTAAACCATTTAGTAAACTCATTGAAACATCTAAGTCAATTGTCACTGACTGTAGACTCATACTAACAATATTTATTTCAGATAAAATATCATACCATATTATTAAACTTAAAATAAATTCATAGGTACATTTTCTTTGACTAAAAAATGTGATTCACTTTTTATTTTTAAATCATTTGCTGTATCCGAAATCTCCTCCAAAGCTTCTACAACTTCATTTAATTGAAATCGAATGGCTTTCACAGCGTTCACACGACTGTTCCATCGGGTTTCTGCCCATTTTTTTATAGAAAGCTTATTACAATGTTTTTTTTTAAAATCTCCCATCTGTTTATAGATGCTGAAAATAAAACATAAATCCTTTCAATCATTCCAAAAAATAATTGAGCCATAGAAGAACTTCCTCCAGCATCCTTAAGACAAAGGTTAAGGCTATGTGCTGCACACAGGTCAAAAAATGCACGTGGATTTTGTTTTAAAATATGAGCCTTTACACCTTTATATAAACCTGCCATATTCGCCCTATTATCATAAGCCTGTCCTCGAATGTAATGTATGTAGAGACCATACTCTTTTAATTTATCAATCAAAATATTTGATAAATCCATTCCAGTAGTTGAGCTAATATGTACAAAGTCCATGAAATATTCTTTTATTTCAGAATAGCTAGATTCATTTTCAAAATCGATCTGTACAATTCTTATTATAATAGAAAGTTGTTCACAGTGATTAATATCTGGTGTGGTGTCCATAATGACAGAAAAATAAGCAGAATTCTTTATCAACTTTATTATTTTAATTTTTACCTCCTGTGCCATCATGGAAATCAACGAGTTTTGAATATTATGTCCAAGATAATGAACATGCGTTTCGTTGTCTTTAATACGACGTACATGTTCAGAGATAACCGGATCAAATTTCGCTAACATTTCTATAATGCCTAAAAATTTACCATTATTTTTCTCGTATAAGATATCTGAACACCCTCGGAAACCATCATTATTTTTAGCTAAATACTGTATTGCGGAAAGAACTCTTAGTAAAACATTCCGCCAATGAGCTTTTTCTTTATCGATCATTTATATATGGTCATTATCAATGGTATGACATTTATTGACTCGAGTTTTAAGTTCATATCAAACTTTTAGTGATTGTAAGTGATTTGAAGAATTTTCATGTTTATTCAGTATTCTTGATAAATGTCTCCAATCATTTATACCTGTTGTACTAAGTCCATTAATATGTAATGGAAACAGTTTACAACAAAAGCAATAAACACAGTTTTTCTTTTTAGAATAAATTAGCCAACATCTATTTACAACTTCACCATTTGATAATCTGCGAGTATAGTAATAATCGGAAAACTTTTTTTGCTCGGAGTCTATTGGATAATTAAAATTGTTCACTTTACAGGGCCCGTTTTTTACTATATCGATACGTACAGCATGAGTAAGATGGATTGGCCAATTTCCGGGGTCTGTTAAATCAGTTATAACTACTAGAGATTCAAAAGTAGAATTATTTAAATGTTGATTAATTGCTGATTGTTTATTATAAGAAATTGTAGATAATACAGTTTCTACTGAATCCTCATTTCCTAAAGATTTATATATGTTATTCTGAAGGGTGTGATCAGTTTCAGATTTTAGAGGTGAATTTTGTTCATAAATACTTGTTGAACTATCAGAAATTATATTGACGTATTCATTATTGGTTTTAGGGAAAACAGATGCAAAATTTTTTTGAGATGTAGTTGGACTTGGTTTAAGATATTTATCGAAAGATCCCGTTTGTTTTTTTATAAAATCGTCTCTTTGCTGTTGACGTGCTCTTTTATTACTTCCCGATTCGTATTTTCTAAATCTATCTCTATCTCTGCTTGTCATGATTTGTATTTTTATGATTTATGATGTTTAAAAAAGTTTTTATTCTACACGTTACACAGCCCTAAAGTGTTATAAAATAGAAATTAGATAAGGCTAATTAGTAATAACAAAAATATATATAATTAGTGCCAAATTTTATATGGAAATTTAGAACTGTGGTTTCTTTAAAATATTGTTTAGAAACCATAAATTTAGTACGCTTGTTTAGTTGTTTATTGCATATATTTTGATAATTTTTCATGTATTAAGTCCCGAGTTCTAGTAATTATACCCACTTACTACAAATATAGATTTATTCTCAATGAATACCATGTAGGTATGATTTTTTAGAGTTTAAATACAAACTGCACAATGTAATAAATAAAATGGGAGTTTATGTAGGCAACCTAATTGTACACATTTCCATCAAATAATTATTACGATTGATTTACACCAAGTTGACTAAACTTGACAAAACTATTTCGCCATAGCAATAATAATAAATATGAATACTAGTTCAAAATAATAATATACACAAATCTGTGTGTTAAACTGTCTAATAATATATTTATAAAAATAATTTATAATTTAAATTATTAAATTAAAAGTGTAATAATATAAAATAAGTACTTACCTACGAAATAATCGTTCATATATCGCATGTGTAAACTATGTACGTCTTATTATTGCGGGTGCTCGTGTTTTAATAAAATAATAATACTATCAAGTGAGTTAGTGTCGTCCGTATGCTATGTAAAATACGATGTATACAAATTATGAAGAAAATTAAAAATAACAAATAACAACACGACTGCAGTAATAATAATCGTTATCGCCGACGACGACGACGACAACAAAAAATAAAAATAATTATAAATTATACTAATAATAGATATTCGATTTTGTCGGAGAAAACAATATAAAATAATAATAATAATATTCGTTATTAACTATATACAGTTGTTATACACCCACAGATTATTAATGCATTTAAAAACTTTAAAAATATTATTCACATACCTCACTATATATGCAAACACACGCTGAAACCGACTTAATTTTGAATATTTTTCACACAGTTGTATAAAATAATTTACCTTTACTTCAGTGACCATTACTATTGACTTTGACTGTTTCCGCTCTTCACATAATGTTTCCTTGTCTTCGTGTACTTGATAGAGTGTTTTCCATCTCGTGTGCTCTTCGGTCAACCACGCTGGTCCGTTCCACCACAATGTACATTTTTGTATATTTTGAACATCACACCCCCCTGGATAAAATGTCAGCTGGGTTCTCTTTTGTATTAACATACGACCACGAGCATTGTGGTGTTAAATTGTGAACCTTACTCACATGATTAGCAACGAACGGTTTCCAACGCATTGAATCCGATGCGATCCACGCTAATACCACCTTGGAATCACTCCAACAAAAAATATTTGTAACATTAATACGTAACGTCGGAACTATTTTTTTTATTAATTTTGATAAGAGTACTGCAGCGCATAACTCCAATCGCGGTATTGTCATTATACTTATCGGCGCAATTCTTGATTTTGCGCATACTAGTTGCGAATGGCGAGTGCCGTCTGTGCGTGTGCATACTATATTATGTATATAAGCAAGCCCCGTATGCTTTACACGACGCATCGGCAAATCCGTGTATATATATATATTTACTGCGTCATCACACTGCAACCATCGCGGGATACTAAGATTATTACACTGATCTAGATCCTTTAAATATTTTTTCCATTTCATTTGCATTTCCGATGATAATTCATCATCTCAATTTATTTTTAATTTCCATAATTGTTGCATTAAGATTTTAGCGATTACGATAACGGGTCCAAGCAAACTGAGCGGGTCGAACAGACGCGCAATATTAGATAAGATACCTCGTTTGGTTATCTTATGTTCAGGCTTTGGTAACGACACTTTATAAATAAAACTATCCGAGTTTGAATCCCAATACAAACCTAATGTCTTTATTGCTTCAGTTTCCATATTTAATGAGTATAGTGAGTTTTCATTAGGAATTGGTATATATCTTAATAAATTGGCATGATTAGCTGTCCATTTGCTTAATTCAAATCCATTGTTACTTAAGCATTTAATCAATTTATTACGCAAATTTAAAGCCTCTGATAATGTTGATGCACCTGTTAAGCAATCGTCAACACAAAAATCATGTTTTATTATTTGAACTATCTCCGGACGCATTTTAGTAATATCTGCCGATTTATGAAGACAGGCCACAGATAAGAAACTTGCAGGTACCGTTCCACACGTTACCGTACATAATCTATATTTCTTAATTGGCTCATTAGGGTCACTGCGCCACAATATACGCTGATAATCTCAATCCGCCTTATCAACCCATACTTGACTATACATTTTTTTTATGTCAGCTGAAAATGCATATTTTTGGGTACGAAATCTAGCAACGATTAATATGAGTTCGTTTTGTAATATGGGGCCCTTTAACAGTACATCGTTTAGCGATAGTCCAGATTCTGATTTGCATGAGCCGTCAAATACTACTCGTAATTTAGTTGATCGGCTACTATCATTTAGAACGTAGGAATGTGGCATATAATACGTTTTCCCTGATAGGTCATTATCCTCATTAACCTTTTCCATATGTCCCAAACGTTCATACTCTTCCATGAAACCTTTATACTGACTATATCGCTCGGGATTTTTTGCAAGATGCCGCTCTAACGATAAGAATCTTTTTACCACGATATTATATGATTCGCCTAATTTGTCTACGTTATCACGAAACGGCAGTTTTACGACAAATTTTCCCGTTGAATCTACTGATACATTATCCAAAAAATGTTTTTTACAAATTGCGTCTTCCGACGTTTCGTCTGCATAATGAAAATTCTTCGACTTTCTAAAATTCTCCCATATCCTTTTCCAGATTTGAATAATTATCTTCATTTATTACGAAGCTATTGAATTGTTTTTTGATGAAATCTCATTTATTGGTCCTACAATTATCCATCCAAACATTGTTTGCTGTAAGTACGGACCCATTGTGTGAAGTTTGAAATTTCTCGAGCACATTATTTCCCAATAGGAATCAGCACCAAATAAATCTATTTTTCCCGGTTTAAAAAACCTAGAATCCGCCAACTTAATATCCTCGGGTATAGACCATTTTTTTGTATCGATATTGTTGGTTGGGAGATTTCCGGTAATTTTTGGTAATATCAGCATGTCCATGGTAACAGAATAATTATTTATACGTGACTTAATAGACGCTGTCACCTGATGTGTGGCACGGCTAACTATTTCATTTATACCTATGATTGATTTATTTTTTTTTTTTTTATTATTTTTATTTTTATTAGCTATTAGTTTACAACTATGACAGCTCGACTATTACAGAGATAATACATAAAATAACATTATATATTAAACATTATAATACATATTAAATTATAAAGCCAGCATCCAATATAAAGGTAATTATTAATTTAATGGCGGTAGTAGATTTTGTATTAAGTATGGAGTGGATATTTAAGGGGATATCAAGAGTCTTAAGTTCATTAACTAAAATAATGCGTTTGAGTTGTAGGGCAGGGCAGTCAAGTAGAATATAAGATAAGTCACAAATGCATTCATTCAGGTGAAGAGTACAGAATGGAGAATCATTAAGGCCAAGTTTAAAGGAGTGGCTGGGTTAAAGGTGATGCCCTATGCGTAGCCTATTAAATTGTACTATATATGGTCTATGTAAGTGTAGGTTATTGAACCAGGTTTTTTTTAAGGATATTTGGTGTAATATTTCTGTATCTTGGGGCGAAATCAGCAGGTAGATTATTCCAGAGAGAGAACCAAATATTAGTAGAGTATAGTTTTATAAGAGGTGTGAGGTCAGAATGGGGGAGTTGATGCATAGAAGGAAAGATGAGATTGGATGAAGATTTAGCCAGGTGGTCAGCAACTTCATTACCATATATGCCTGTATGACTAGGAACCCAAAGAAAGTGGATGTTATAGTTAATTTGATTTAATGTAAAAATAAGAGACTTGATGCGAAGAATAAGTGGAGACAGATGAGAGTTAAATGGGTTTGAATTTAAGGCTTGGAGGCACGACATAGAATCTGATATAATTAAGTAGTTATTAGGGGGGGAAATTTTGGATAAGTTTTAAGGCTTCGGTGATGGCATACCACTCAGCTGTAAAGGAAGAAGACGTAGGGGGGAAGGTTATTGCTAAAAGAGAGTTGTAGATCAGGAATAAAAAACGCATATCCAGCGGAGAGAGGGGAGACTGATCCATCAGTATAAACCGCGATGAAGTTAAAAAAGCGTTCATTAAGATAATTCAAAACGGCTGCATTGACCGAGGAAGAAGACATACATTTAAAATCATTGGAGGATAGATCAAAGAATTTATTATCAGAATGAATTTGAGGGGAAAAGATAAGAGAGTCGTAGGATTGCTCGTAAAGAGGGAGTTTAGTTGAATTAATAATGTATTGGTGGAAATTTGAGATAGAATGTGCTATAACTGATAATACGGGCATAGATTTAGGAACATATCGCCAATTAAGGTACAGTGAGTAATAAGTGTCAAAGATACAGTGATCGCTATAGGATAATGATTTCAAGAGAAATTTGCCGGCAAGCCAGCGGCATCTGATATTAAATGGTGGGCAGGTAGATTCAACTTCCATAGCAGGGCAAGGTGTAGAGCTGACGTAACCCATAATGGTTCTGATGCATGAGGCTTGGAGTTTATTGATTTTTTTCCAATTAGAAAAGGAAGCCGATCCGAAAAGAAAGCATCCATAATCAAGTTTGGAGCGTATAATAGACAAATATATAGATAATAGGCTTGAAGGGTGAGAGCCCCACCAAGTACCAGTAACCGATCGGAGGAAGTTGGACCATCGAGAAACAAACGTCATGAGAGTTGAAATATGTGGAATCCAGCGCAATTTGGGGTCGAGAGTGATACCAAGATAGGTAATACTGGGAACAAAAGGGATAAAATGATTGTTGAGATGAGTATTAAGGTTGTTTAAATATCTACGACGAGTGAAAATGTCCGATTTGCATTTTTCAGGGGCAACATCAAAAGATTAGGATATCATTCAGATCCTTCAGGGCAGAGTTGAGGTTATCAATAGCAAGATTAAGATGTTTATTAGAAGAGAATATTACTAAATCATCAGCGTATATAAGACATTTATGACCAGACTGAGAAAGATGCTTTTCAACAATACTCATATATACATTGAATAGGATTGGGCTAAGGCAGCTACCTTGTGGAAGGCCAGTGAAAGTGGATCGAGTATTTGACGATCCAAAGGGAGAGAAGAAAACAAGATTTCTGAAATTGAAGAGAGCAGACAGAACATTACAGAACTTAGGGGGGACATTTAATGAGAGAAGATAGGTAATGAGGGTAGGAATGTTCACGGAATCGAAGGCGCCGCGGATGTCAACAAATGTGGCGACAAGGAATTCCTTATTATTGAAAGCATGGTAAATGTTACCAATGAAAGTCGAGAGGCATTCCATGGTACCCAAACCCTTCCTAAAAGCAAACAAATTTGCAGGTAAAACATAGTTGGATTCTAGCCACCAATCAAGTCTAGTTTTCAGCATATATTCGAAAACTTTGCAAAGAGAGGAAGAGAGAGCAATTGGACGAAAAGAAACATTAGAATTAGGTTTGGGGATAGGGATGACACGATAAGATGTCCATGAAGGAGGAACCTGATTTGATGATAGAATGTTATTCATAATAGATAAAAGGTAAACCAGAGCATTTGAAGGGAGGTGTTTTAGCATAATAGGTGATATGTTGTCAAGACCGGACGCAGTAGATTTCCGTGAAGATATAGCTAAATTTAATTCTGACATAGTAAAAATATTAATGAGAACATGAGGTGGAGAGTATAGAGAGTGATCAGAAGGGCAAACCTCTGATATAGAAGGGACATAGCATGGAGCGACTTTAAAACAAAAAGAGTCGAACCAATCGTCATTATCTGGAGGTCTGACAGGGTTGATACAGTTTTTATAGCGCTTAGCTGTTGACCAAAGGTGATGTATGGGGGAAGATGGGTTTAGATTCGAACAAAATTTTTTCCATTTTTTCCTCTTTTTATTTTTTAATAGCCTGGTGGTTTGGACACAAGCGTTTCGGTAATTAATGAAGTCAGACATGGAGCCTGAGCGACGAAAGTTTCTAAAAAGAAAGGTTCTGTTTTTGACAGCTTCGGTACAGTCAGAATTCCACCAGGGAGGGGAGGGTGGATAAGGATTGGTATTTAATCTTTTCTTAGGAATTGTAGAATCGGCGGAGTTGCTTATAATACTGGTGAAAGTAGAATAGGAAAAAACTGGAGAGGAAGAATTTGTCAATGAAGAGATAGAATTATGAATTTGAAGAGAATATGATGACCAGTTGGCTTTATTGAAGTTAAAAGGTAAGTAGATTGGAGGTGAGGAATCCAAGGCGGAACAAGATGGTACAGGGTCAGTGATCCTGTTAAAATTAGCTGTTATGATAATTGGGATATGATCGCTACCGTGAGGATCCTTGAGGACTTGCCAAGATAGATACCAGGTTATATCAGGGGAACAAAAAGATAAGTCAATTGCTGAGTTAGTTGAGTTGGGGCGACCCACATGTGTAGGACTACCATCGTTGAGAGAACAAAGACCTAAAGAATTAATGTAATCATAGATCTGAGAACCACGGCGGGATGCAAGTTGAGAGCCCCAAGCGGGATGAAATGCATTAAAGTCGCCACCAAGTAGCGTATTATGCGATATCAGGTTAAAAAATTCATGCCATAAATTGGAAGGAACATTAGAATTACTGGGGATGTAGCAGGACCAAAATTTTAAAGGAGGGTGTGAATTGATAAGATGCACTTCGATACCTATGATGTCAATTTTACAGTGGGTAAATCTATTTCTGGTAGCAATATCTAAAGGAATTAGTTTGGATTTGAAGGAGTTATGGACAGCAATAGCTACACCACCATAGCCATCAGAGCGATCGGATCTATAGATTTTGAACTGTGGCATTGTAAGGGCACGTGAAGGTAAAAGCCAGGTTTCAGAGAGAAGTGCAATTGAGCATTTATGATCAGATAAGAGGTGTTGTAAGGATGGGAGACGTGCAGGGAGACTTCTCACATTCCACTGAATAATGTTAGTGTAATTGTTGGAGATATTCTGGTTTTTATATTTTTGTAAAAATACCATGGTAATTTTAAATTATTTTGTTATTGTAATATGTTGGTTTTTGAGTCAAATATATTTAGTATTTTCTTAAACTGTGGTGAGGACATTTGGTGTATAATACAAGACTAATCAGAAGTGAAATTAGAATCTGGAATATTAAGGAGTGAATTCATAGAAGATTCAATTAGGGACTGAAGAGAGGCGGGTGAGAAAGGGGAAAACAGAGAGGGGGAATTTATAAGAGATTCAGAGAGCTTAAGAGAAAGAGAATGGATCCAGGATAGATCAGCAGAGTTATTGTCCTCGGTAAGGCTTTGATTAGGGGGATTGGTTAAACAGCAACCATTAGGTGAAGAAAAATGAGGTTCAACTGGTAAATTTAATTTGTCTTTATTAATCGGGGAGCGAGATTTTTGTTTTGTCTTCCTAGAATTGAAATAATGATGGTGATTATTTAGCCTGGGGAAGTTTTCTTCCTCTAGGGAGATATTTGGTTTTAATATATCAGAAATTGGAGGCTGGCTCTTTACAATATCGGAAAAAGAAAAAGCAGTAGTGTAACAATTATTTTTTTTAAAAATTAAAGCATCCTTATAGGAAATATTTTCGGTGGCCATGATGTGTTTAATTTCTTTTTGAGTGGACCATTCACGGCAACTACGATCAGTGGCTAAGTGAGGTTGCTTACAGAAGAGACATACAGGATCAGTGGCTTGAGCGCGT